ACATAATCAGAAAACTATTAAACTGGGTAAAACTGCTAAGGCATTGAATGTTCTACCAAAACATATTTAATAGAAATTTGAATTTGATAATGACTGTATTCTAAAGCATGTTTAAAGTCTAAAGTTTTAAACGTGATGGCTAAATGTAAATATAAAATTATGTATGAGAATTTTTGTAATTAGGCACATAGGTCGGGTTAAGTTTTTATTAAATAGGGTACAACATGTAAGGGCTGTCTGCCTAAAAATGCCATCGTGGAGGAATTTCGAAGAAAAACTGACCTTTGAGTGGGTGTTAAAAAATGCATATAATCTTCATTCAAATTATATTTATACATATTCCTTATGTTAAAAATTCTGGTCAATGTTAAATAATTGTAAATTACTTTACTCAAAAAAGATAGTGAATGCACAGAAATTAAAGATTTGCATGAGCCAAAAATGAAAAATATTAAATATATCTGGGTATTTATGCATATCCTTGCAAAAAGCATGTGTTTGCCTTTAACAAAATATGTAAATATTTATTAAATTATTTTTAAACATATTTGGAAATGAAGGATTTATCCATTCATAAACTCTTGTAAAAGTTACTGTGAAGAAATCTAGTTATTAAATATATCTAAATTTATAATGATTAGAAATATTATCTAAATATGTAATAACCTTACATTTAATTGTAAACATAAATTGAAATTCTGTTGACAAATACATTTATAAAACTATTTAAGCGATAATTTTCTTACAGTAAAGCAATCTGTTAAAAGGTGTTGTAAAGCAAATTCAATGAGACGCACACTTATGCAAATAGTAAAAAAAATTTAGAATATGTATTGTTGAAATTAAATGTAAAAAAAATCTCATATGTATTAAAAGAGTTATTATCTTCTTACATTATATAATAACTCAGATGTTTTAAATAACATATAAAAAAATCTTTTTTATTGCCTTTCAGAAATATTAATAAGAAGTTAAGTACACAGAAATCAGCAGTAATAGCACTATATTATTAAAAGAAAAGGTGCACTAATTTGAAATAAACAAAATAGAGCACTGATTATAAATCGATTCTGATTTTTGACTTAAAATATGCCTCAAAAGCTAAAAATATCATCTCATATTTGAGAAAGCATTTCAGTAAGAAGCTCTGTAAATAGAAAAGAAATAATGCATAATTTTAATATTAATAATACAATAAATTTTTATCTTAATCTTTGTAATCCTTAACTGAATAAAATTGAATTACCTTAAAATTTTCTTCTAATGTAATTAACAAAAATTTGTGAAAATATTTCATTCAAATTAAACTGTTCTAGGAAAAGTATAGCATTTAATTCCATTAAAAATGTATTCGTTAGAACTCTGAAATATTGTAGAAAAAGAAAATATACGTATATTTACATCCGATCATGTCAAAAGCCATTGATGGAAAGTCACTGAATGTTTTAATCTCCACGAGGGGATCGCCACTTTTTGAAAGCAGCATATAGGAAAAACCAGTTAGGGGAGCCTCTCTTCTTACATCCTACCTCCATGAGTTGGGCAATTACCAATCAAGCATTCATTAGGAATCGGGGCTTCCGCAAGTGCAACTGGTGCGGCAGCACTGGGCTGTAAAAACTATGAGAATTTGGGAAAGAATCGGGTGGCAGAGTTTTGATTCTTGGCGTTTGCACCAGGTGGCAAAGAAGCCCTTCTAGGAATTATGGATAAACCAATGAGTCATTTTTAAACCATTCCATAACTCAGAACTTGATATAAGGGATAACTTATTATAGAAAGAGTGATAAAATTCTGGAGCTAAATTTTTATTTTGATGAAAACAGATTTACATAACCTGCAATCCTTGTAACCTTCAAAATACAATCCTGCCTCGATGCAACATTGTCATCTTTTCCCCCCAACTATTGAAAACTGCTCGAAGTACTTCTTTTAATTTTTTAATACTTTCTTCTCAATTAAAATTTTTTACAATTACAGAAAAAATAAAAAAAATAAAAATTGCTAGACTCAAGTCTGATGAATACAGAAATTGCAGAATAGTTGAGTCCATAAAGAGCCAAGAATTGCATATAATGCAATAGCAGCTTGTGGTGATACATCATCTTGATGAAGCAACTGTTAGAGATCATTACACCATTTACTTTTATTATTTAAAAAAATTAAAGGATTGCCTTTTAAAAATTGGCAACGAGAGTACAAATTATGAAGACATAATGATGACTTATTTTATTATTATTGTACTAGCTCCAATTATTGTTTATTTTCTGTAGCTTGATTTTTTATAAAATAAAATTAGTTTTCTTGCTACTAGTAGCAGTGTTCCTCTCAGTTTGCAATATTTGGTCCTCTCTTAAGCAGGAGAAGAGTGGCTCCACTATTTTGAGCAGGCAGAAAGCTGCTTTAAGAGCTGACTCAGAGAAAAATTCTTAGAAGCTATAAAATAAGAATTCACATTAGCCATTTTGGATATTGCTAAAGAATCTGCATTGATAACACAACTGCAGCATGCTTCAAGATTTGAATGAACTGCATAATGGATATTATAAAAAAGCTAAAGATAATGAATTAGAAGAAATTACAGTTTACTTGAAAGAAGTACGTTGTAAGACAACCAGGTACCAAGTCCTTTAAACCTAATTTCAGAGTGTTAAAAAAACTGAATTAAAAGTTGATGATTCTTCTGCTATGAATTCGAAAACTCCTAATATTTCTCTTTCCAAATTCCCTAACCTGAATTCTCTGGGTTGCACAAGGAGTGGAATAGTTTCAAAACTATATTTCATAATATCTAAGTATTATTTAACAGATTATCAAAAATATTTTTATATAAAATTTAATAAATATTTTTATTAAACTGGGTAAAACTGCTAAGGTATTGAATGTTCTACCAAAACATATTTAATAGAAATTTGAATTTGATGATGACTGTATTCTAAAGCATGTTTAAAGTCTAAAGTTTTAAACGTGATGGCTAAATATGCATGAGTCATTATTTAATGTATTAGAGGAGTATTATGAGAACAAAAGAATAATCATAGATACACATGCCCCTCAGAACATTATAAACTATCCCAAACTTTCAATTTCAGAAATGCTAGATCATGTAAAAAAATACACATATATTAGATGCCCACTAAGATATTAAACTTTCGGACATATTTTTAATAAATGTTACCATTCAGAAACTTGATCGAGAGTGTCTAGAAAACAATTTGGCTCTAGTGTAGAATTGGGTGCCTTTCGATTAGCGACCATTTTTTTTAATTTTGGGGATGAAACCTCACTTCTGGTTACCATGAGAGTTTTAATTTTGTTTTAGCTTCCTGATTTTATTTAAATGAAAATAGATCGATGTGTGCATGGACAAATTTAAGGCAGTGCACAATGCCTTTTTTGTGCAATTCTAGGATTTTTTTTTAAAGTGAAAACAGATCGATGGACACAGAATTTGTGCAATTCTTTAACTTCTTATTTCGGTTTTGTGTAGCAGCCATCTTGAAATTGCACCTTCCTGGCGCCGATATTCGCGTCAAAAAAGAATCGCTAAAAAACAAGGGGCACTCAATTGTAAACTTTTACCAACAATTTGAAATGATTTTCATATCAAATAACATTTCATAATTTGATGCATTTTTTTCAGTTTATTGGAAAACAAAGTCAGAGGTTAGAAATCTTAATACAAAATATGGCAGTTAAAAGTATAAAATTCGTTTCCTTGTAAATTCATCTCATCGAACAAAAAGTCTCATGGTTAGTTCAAATATACTTTCAAAGTCATTTTGTGTTGTGCATAAAAAAGTGCACTCCATATAAAATGTTCAGACATTCAAGCATATTAAAATGTTCAGACATTCAAGCATATGAATCATACTGAGAGATCTGACATAATCCAGAAACATTTACTCTACTTGAATTGTTTATTCCTATCATATAAAGTATCTGAATGTAGGTAAAAAAAAATCACCGATTTGATTTGTGAACTTGGACATCATAACATACTGCACAGAGAATTTAATAAAGATTCCACAGAACTGAAAAAGTGCAGAGATGCCAAGGTACTGACTCCCACTCAATCATTAATAACGACTGTTAAAAAGAAAATTGTTTGTTGTGTACTATTACTCTTCATATTACATACTTATTTCAATGTAAACATCCTGTGGGTACAAGCCTTGACTCAGTCTCTCACTGTAATTTCACAAGTGCTAATTTATTAAGATTAAAAAAGCAAAAAATTGTTGCTCCTACTTCAGTTCTAAACATTACAACAAAAATAATACATGAATTATCAAACAAGTACAGTAATAAATGAAATTTTATATTTTTTGGTCATAGCAAAAATAACTGGTATTAGTTCATCTAAATTAATTAACATTTCAAAAATAAAAATTCCTACTGCTGTTTTCGCAGACTCCTAAATTTTACAAATCTTCTTGGATATGTAATTCGATTTTGCTTGGGCCAGATTTGTTTTTTTGATTTTACTCACAACAGAAAGGTTCACACAAAAGAGTTCAAGAAATTTTATTTGATTATGGTGCACTGGGCTGAATTAAAACTTTTAGTTCAGTAGAAAATAATTAATTTATTGATCATTACATATCTGCAAGTATGTACACATTTAACCAAATCTTTTGAGGTCCCCTCTCCCAAAAAGTTCTTTTGGGAAATAGTAAATGTAGAAAGTTACAACTTTGTCAATCCAGTAATTCTCTTTTCAATGTCTGTCCATCTCATTTTGCAAGGAAAAAAAATTTCAACATACATGCAGAGCAACACCAATTAAATGCACTGCTTGGGATTTTTAATGACAGTCTTTGAGGTTAAATTTCTGGTGAATCTTAATAACTTAATATTGCAATTCTACTGAATTTGTAAAATTTTTAGAATTCATTTTATGTATTGTCAAGGCTAAAAAAAGGATCATCAAATGTTTCCATGTTTTTATGTAAAACTACAAAACTGAACTACTAAGATGGATACAACTTCATAGTGGCTATATTTTGCAAATCATATATCAAATATTTATTTAAAATTATAGGTACAAAAAAGAAAAAGGCATGGAAAATTGATGAACGTCTCAAATGACAACATATGAAAAACATTAAAGATACGATACAATTAAAATTTTTTGACAAAATACTGTATTACAATTGTATCAAAAAATTTCACATAATCATGCATACAAAATTAAAAACTACAATTAATGAATTCACTCTCATATTTTCAACAGTTTAAATCAAGGAAGTTATTAAACAACATATTATTCTTAATGTGAATCGCTGAATTTATTTTATGCTTAGCTTTTGTATCATTAATCGATATATATTAAAGAAAAATTACATTTCCAATTTTGAATTGGCTACTGTATAAATCCATCAGATCCTCAGTAAATGTACACTTCCAAAAATAAAATTATAAAGCCAAATGAACAAAAGGAATAGGTTCTAAATTTTATTATATACATATAAACAATATTACATTCATAATAATTTCTTTACTTAGAAATTAAACCAGTTACATATAAAAGACAGTTTTAACTACATTAGGAAAAAATTTTAAAAAAAGTTGCATTTAATATAATAAGAGTCTAAAACAGTTCTATACTATTGCAGCAATACAAGCAAATGATTAAATTTACATGACAAATATTTTTTCAGCTTCTTTAAAGTCATACACCTCTTTTGTACGTGGGCATGTCACTTTGCCATTATTTTCTGCTGCCATTTGTTTTAACGACAACTCTCCATAAACATATCCATTTGGTAACATAAGAGGATGATTGTGTTCATTTAATGGCTCTCCCGAGATGTAACAAACCAAACGTGACTGTGAACAATGAGAGTAAGGAAGAGACTGGGCTAAAGTATTCAAAGCTGGTCCACATACAGGGCAATCAGTGTTACGTTCACCTTCTGGTTTGTAACAAATTGGAGTTTTCAAAGCAGATAAACCAGCCTGAAGAGAGACTGAGAAAACAGATACATTACTGAGCTGATACAGCTTAAAGTTATCGTGCCTAAACTGCAATACCAATTTATCCCACCTGGCTTCATCAAAGTAATCTTTATAAGGATGCAGTGTGGTACAAAGAGGAAACGCAAGTAATCCCATAACATGCTGAACTTCTTTCAAATGGTCATCCTCCACATTAGAGAAATATTTCCGGGCATGTTTTATGGCTTCAATACGCAAATCTTGACGGATCAGTTCAATAAATTCTTGCTGTCGTAAATTAAACTCCAATGAGCTTTTAAGTTTCCTGAGCTTGGATTTATTGTCGTAACACCAATTTAAACAGTTTGCAGTCTCGTGTCTTTGCAATGATTCTTCTACTTCTTTCGATATGAGAAATAAATTAATATTCGTTAAATCTTCAATGTTAGAATGTTTGGCTAATTTCAGAGCTGTGTTATAGTATCCACAACGCAAAAAATGATCAACAAGCATCCGATCAAGACGTTTTTTCTTCCACTGGGTAACAGCAGATTCTGAAGAACTTCCATGTTCTTTTAAGTGATCTAATCGACGTTTACAGACTGATGCCGCTTCAAGTTCCTCACTAACACTACCTTCAGAATTACTGCTAACTAATTTTCTCTTTAAAATATTCAACTTCTCGACAACACCTCCTAACAACGCATTTATTTCTCCAACTACTGGTGATTTTTTCAGCAGCCCTTTCTCTAGCTCAGACGCAGCATTCTGAACATGAGAAACTTCTCGATCTATTGTCTTTTGAGCGGTTCTAAACTTTTTATTAAGAACTTCATAAGGTACCTTAAGAGTAGGATGCTCTAATGCTTTCACTTCTGCCATTACTAAAAGGGACGAAATAAGCAATGCCTATATATTTGAGCTAAAAATATTATATTTCTGCTTAAATACTCTTATATCATGACACATTACTTTTCATTATGATTTTTCTAAAATACATGGTAATTCATTTTATATTATCATTAAATATATGATATGCGCATAAAATTGTAAAAGTATCAAACACGTCCATATTTTAACACTGTTCGGTTAGCAATAATCTTACTACAGCAAACGAAAAATATAAAACTTTAATCATACCTTCTTCCCATTCAGTATTACTTGAGAAATTTAAAATAAAATTATACGATTTAGAAATTTATTATTACATTCTCTAAAGAGGTACAATAGAAAAAAAATTAATTACATAAATATTATACCTTGTTGCGGTACTACAATTACATGACGTAAATCTTAGATTCTTGTTGCCAACAGTTGAATGTTCAGCTCAAAAAAAGATTAAATTTATATCTCTTTTTAAATCACTCAATAATAATAATTTTTTTTGCGTCTCTTATAAAAGAAATAAAAAAATTCAGTTTGTATTGTCAGTAAACTGTCGACTGATGGCTGTATTTAAATGTTCAAAATAGTCGAAATTTATATAAAATTTTCGACCAATATTAAATTAAATGGAAACCATATTACTAATTATATAAAACTTTCACTTTTCAGGGACGATTTTGTTTTGTTTATAATTATACATAAAATTATTTTCGGTGTTATAAAGAATCTAATTTTTTTTTTTTTCTAAAAATGCATCGTCATCGTTTCCATGGATACGAGTAAATAAATGACAATGTTTAAATGACAAGCCAAAAAGGCACAAATGACCGCGTAAACTTAAGTTCTTGTTTACGTTAAAGGATTCGTTAAAAGCTTCACATTGTTTAGGGTAAAATTTTGCTTACTCTCTACACTGCAGAGAACTTTATGGAAAAGAATATTTCATTTGTTTAATTATTCATATATTATAAACAAATCAAAAGGGTTTTTAAATCTGATTTTTTTAATATGTGCTTGGGGTGAGGAAATATGAGAATAAAATTGTTTTAATCTGTAATTTATGGTCTGCATATAAAGTTTTTTCTTTACGTGCTATTATTTTTATTAGTTATTTCATTAGATGATTATCGCCTTTTGAAAATTCCTTAACGCAAAATAAATTTTAAACTTTTTGCTTAAATTAGTTGTAAGCTATAATAGCAGGATGAAATAATTTTCTCCATCTCTAAATTCCATGTTATGTGTTACTGCAGATAAATATTCAAGCTGATAGCTGACAGTTTTATAGATGTCAAAAAAGAAAGTCATTAATTTTCGGAAAATGAGATCCGATGTTCCTGGACTAGAAAAGCTGCCTCCAGTGCCAGATGTTGAAACAGATATCAATAAAATTATTGATAAAAACCGTTGGAAAAATAGTAAGATGTGGAAAATAGGAGTTTCAACCAAGCAGAAGCAGGAATTTAAAGAGAGAATGTAAGAGCCATTTTGTTAAACGTTTAAATGCAAGTCTTAATTCACTTAATTAAAAAATGTATTTTTGTAGTGATATATTACTAAAAAGTTTCAAATAAATTTTTAAAATGTAAATGCTTTTTTCTGCAAAGAGTCTATTTTTTGCCATTAGATATTTATAAACTTTTTGTTTAGGTAACTTTTATTAAAGTTTAAAATTTCAAAATACTTGAACACAGATTAGCTAACTTTATTGAAACTTCTTACTGCTGTACAACTTGATAATAATTTTGCCATATTCATTTTAATAAAATGTTTACAAGTAAAAGTAAAAATTTTTGGAAGTGATTTGTAACTCTCTTCTTCCTCCCCCTTTTTTTTTAGAAGAGTGTGTGTTTGTTTTCTGTAGCTTTTTAAATATTGTAAGAGTTAAGTCCCAATTTAAAAGTCTGAAGGCATTGTTTCCTGTTTTATAAAAATTAATAGAACTGTAGTATGTCAACATAACAGCACAAAATAATAGTAATAATAAATTAATTTTTTTAGCTTTTACCTTTAAAATAACAATATTTTTTGGTACTTTTATGATTTGTATTGTAATACTTTATGATCATGATTATGCAATGTATTTAATTAATGGAAATATCTAAGGTATTTACACCTGATTATAATTTCGTTTTAGATTTAAGCGTGCAAATGCACTTGAAAAGTCTATTCGTAAAAGGACTGTAAGCTATGAATTCAAAGGAGTGCCTCGTAAGCCTGAAGTATATATTATTATTTTGGTCTTGTATTTTATTAATCTTTTTATCTTAGAAAATATAATGTTAATATATTATGAAGTTTTTTATGTATATTCAGTTCACTTTGATTTTTTTTTTTTTTAAATAATTTTTTCAATCCAGAAGAAGGGACATTTTAGAGAGAAATATGCTGGAAGGGAATTAACCTTGCTAAACTGTTTTGAAAAAGGCTGCAACTTAAATTTCCAGTTTAGATTTGAATACAAGATTTTTATTCATTGGTTAGCATAGTTTCCCTAATATCAGTTGAAGTACTATATACTCACTTCTTCTGTTTCTGCTGGTAAACATTGCAGTTCTTACATTTAAAATCACTTTTTGTCTTATTTTTCCAGAAATGTCATGTTTTCCTTGCATATTCTGTATGCTGATATTTATCATTTAAGATGATGATTCAGTTGTTTTTTTACTTCAAAATTATATGTAAATATTTGCTTTTTGATTTACATAAAAATTTAAAAATAAAACTGACAGAATTCTTCATATAAAATTTAAACATAGACTTAATAAATTCAAAACAATAAGTGTTTGAGTGAGAAATATTCATCAGATCAATTTTCATATTGCATAAATTAGATAAAATTCTCATTATTGATATGAAGAAAAATTTTATGTCTTTTGAGGACAAAATACCTAAGGGAATTATTACAAATGATTTGCAATATATTTTAAAGAAATAGTGACAGAACTTTGGAATGATCTTCAGTGGTTCCAAAGGTCATCAAGATTATAGATTTTTCGAATTTTAGAAGAAAAATTAAGAAAACAGAGAGAGAACAGAGTACCAGTTTATTCTGGCAAATATATTATTGTTTCAAATGGCTGGACAATTCCAACTTAATGCATTCATCATGAATGGCTAATACTCATTGGTCATTAAGCCATCTGACCCCCAGCAACTCTGCAAAAGTTGTATCACAGGAGGCCTTGATTTTTCAACCATGAGAACTGGGGATTTCCATCCCAATTTTGATAAAGAATATTCTGGAGTGTATATCCAAAGGTCCACCTCTTTTCTGCTATCACACCTCTTTAGAGGACTTTTGGCTTAACAGTGTTTTAAGTGAACCCATAGTGCACAAACAATATATACTTACAAACATCCAAAGCTTGTTCAGAATTAAACCTAGGTCCAGTGGTATGTCAGGGATAACTGTTGTACTGATTAGGGCAGTTATATGGATATCTTTGATGACTATTTTTCATATAATTTTTAGTACACTTTCCTTGATGAAAATTACATAAAACTTGAATATCAATGCAAATATTTGAATTGTGCTGCAATTTAACTTATCTTTTGAACTTTTATTCAGTGCTTAAATTGCGCCGGAGCTCACCATAGCCCGTCTCTGGTACTTCTCAATTTTTAAGATAATTTTCAGTTATAGCCAGAGCGTACCGGAGCCCTAAATAAGATGAGCTCTGGTACTTCTTTTTATAAATCTGAACAACAATTTCAAGGGAAAAAAAAATTTTAATTCCTAACATTTTAGTTTAACAATAAGGAGACTTTGCAATACTCTATTTCCCTAAAAATACGAACTCATGAGAACATGAGACCTTCAAGTAAAGTTCCCTCACTCACATGTGGAAACCTTTCCCTTTAAGAAGGGCAATAAATTTGTGGGAGTTTGTTTAGGAACGCGTAAATTTGTCGCCATGCCATCGTATCTAGTGTATTGTTATCAATGGTTAGTTATTCTCGCAGGAAGAAAAATTTGTGTTCTTAAATGTGAGTTAAGTGACAGCAAGTACAATTAGAAAGAAATACTGAGATAAACTGCTCAAGCACATCCTATACATTGTCTTCTCACAGTATGTACTAATGTAAACAAATATGGGGGGGGGCGAAAAGTGTAACCAGCAACTTTACATTCATCTTTAGGAGTCAGACTCAGGACTCATTTAACCTGTGACACACATCCACTTGATAGCTATAATTATATCAACAGAGAGTCATGGTCAAAGAGAATGTTCTCTCCCACCAAGATTCCCCTCATTTTTTGTTTCCACCCACTCATACCCTCATTCTCTTTTAGCATTATCTTAATTTTCATCAGCTGAAAATGTGCTAGAAGTATATTTATTTTTGTGATGATTTTCCCCTACGATCAGAGCCTAAATTGCATTGGAGCTCACCGGCTTCCGGCTTCTATGGTTCTTAGTTTTTGTAATAAATCATAACTTTAGCTAGAGCGCACCAGAGCCCCAAATAAGAAAGAAGGCTGCGGTACTTCATTTATGTAATTGAATAACAATTTCAGTAGAAATTTTATCTCAAAAAATTTATTTTTAGCAATAAAATTATATTAAAAATAGCTTATTAAATTTTAATTTATCTCTTTACATTTAATTTAATTTTAATTATTGAATTACTTTAATCTTTAATTAATTCAATGAATAAAAAAATTTATTAGTTATCTAATAATTATCAATAAGTTGTAATTAATTGATTATATAATAATTATTGATTAAATAACAATTTATAAACATTAATTAAATAGCTATTAATTAATTTGATAATAATCAGCTATTTAATTTTAAAATTATTAATGAGTTTAATAGTCATTTTATTTATTTATTTACTCTTGTTCCTCTTTGCTGACGGTCTTCCATAGGGCTACGGGACTTCTAATTTTAGAAATTAAGCCTTGCTTTTATTGTATGTTAAATATTTTGTTTAATATCAATGAAATTTAAAAATGTTTTTAAATATTATGAGATATGTTTATATAGATATAGAATAAAAATCAATGATTTCTGAATTATGCCACAGACATTTATTTTTCAAGCCATGAATCTTTTATTTTGAAGATTTATGAGTGAATATATTTTTTATGAATTTTGTTAACGAGTAAACCTCTAATATTAAATGGTTTAATACTATAGATTGTTTTATATTACTAAACCCTTTGCAATTATCTGATGAAATAAAAGAATAAACATTTTGTTGTACAATATTTTTGTGATTTCTGTTAGGTAAAATATGCTATTCATTTCTTTATCAGTACATATAAATTCAGTGACAGGCTTTGAATTAATGAAAAAGTTTAAAGTAATGAAAAATCAGATTTTGACAGTCAGTGAAGTCCATGGAAGGTTAAATACATACTATTATCATTATCATTAAATTTATGTTATTTGATTATCATTAAATTATATTATTGATTATCATTAAATTTATATTTCATGTATGAAATTTTGATCTTAGTGCTAACTAAAAAATTAGGTACTTTTCCGTTTCGCCGGCGCAAATCTCACCAAGCAGACTTTATTGGCGAAAATACACAGTATACACATAAAAAGTGTTGACAAATGTTAGTTCTAAGAATCTTTTATTTTGAAGGTATAATATTTTAATGTTTAATTAAAATTTTGTAAAAAAGACCAGTAAATAAAGACAATAAATTTGTAAAAAGACATTAATTTAAGAAGTTATTTTGCTTTCATCGTACAACATCCTGATTCGACGGTTCATATCAAGTGACCGCAAGTGATCTCATCTCACGTAAACTATGCTACAAAAATCTAATTCTCTCAGTAATTATCTGCATTAATTTCAGGTTAAATCTTAATTTGGAATACAAGTTTAAATGCAAGAATAATTTCAATTCGTACGAATAGCTTACTCAGAAATTAAAACTGCAGTGCTTTACTTCGCTAGTGCATTCTCATTAGAATTGATGAATTTAACCCTTGACTTTGCCTTTTCTATATTTTCGCCATCGAGTGAGCAGTATGATTGCATCCTAATTGACTTAATTACTGCCCGCAAATGGCCTTAGGCATAAAATTGAACTATCTGGTAAAATTCTATGTAATTGTATGCCAGTATTGAAAGAAACAATCAATCTCATAAGAAATGGCTGCGACTTGTTTTGGAAATGTAAAAGTTAAAGTAAAAGGTTACCAGCGAGGCATCGGTTGTACCATTACTGGCGACTTTATCACTTGCGCAGACAAAACGGAAAAGTACCAAAAATTACTATATGCAGCAACTTTGAAATCAATGTTTCCTTTTTCACATGTAAAACTCTTTCTGTAGCTTTCTGTTTAAGAAATACTGAAAAGTGTATTTTAAAAACAACTATTTTATCATATATTATGTCAATTAATTTAAATACACAATCAAATATGCGCATTATGCATAATATTTCTGCATCTCATTTTTCTTTTTCCTAGCATTATGAGAAAGAACTCAAAGAACTTATATTAGCTGCTCCAGTTGATTCTTTGCCACAGAAGATAATTGATAGAATTATAAAAACCTTGTCTAAGAATTTCCAAAATTTTGATCAAACAAGTCCTATTTTTCTAACTGAACTTGAAGAATTAAAACTCGGTTATGAAGATATGATGAAATCAGTTCGAAGTAAATTAAAATTGCTATAAATTTCAAACTGTGCACTTTTTAAATTAATGTTTACTCACTAATATAATTTTAAAATTAACATATGCTCATTTATAAAAATAATTGTACTTTAATTTGTAGCATTAGAAAGCATGATATAATAATATGTGACTTTGGTTTTATTATCAAAAGTAGGCCTTCATTTGAGAAAATTATATTTATTGGAAAAAATTAAATGTGTTTTCCTGATTCTGATTTCAAACTTTTTTGGTAGCTCACCTTTTTTTTTTTTAACTTAAGTGAAAATTTACTCTTAAAAACATTATTAATGCTGATAAGACTATTAAACTAAAAATTAAAAATCTATAAATTGATAAATTTTATGTATTTTTGATAAAATTGAGTCAATGTAATATATTCTTCTTTTTTCTTTTGAATACTTGTCACTTATTTATTATTTTTCTCAACATTTTAGCTAATTATATTTTTAAAAAAGAAGAAAAAGATGATGCTGTGTGTCATTTATCCAGGTATTTTTTGCAATTAATAATGTTTAGAAACAAACCTTTGTATGTTTCATGTTTTTTTGTACAATGAGAACAAATTTAATGTAATTTAATTCATTATGTGTTGTATTTAACACATTTACTTTTGAATTGTGTTTTATAATATTTTACATATGGCCATTTTTACTCTTTAGTCTTCAAGCAAAAATTAAAAAATTTTCATCATTAGATTCTTTAAATTTCAGTTTGGATTAACTTTTGAAAGTAAATTAAACTTAAACTAAGATTCCTAAATGGCATAATTAATTTTAGATTTCCATATGGTGAGAATCAAGACTTAAGGAAAAGAATAATAAACATTAAAGCTTTTCTGATGAGAAATTTGCATACAATTCATCCATTAATACATCAAGCAAATTTTATATGCCAATCATATATGAAAGAAAGATTAATATCCAATGAAATTTTCAGGTAATTATTATTTATTTATTTGATTAATTTTTCTTTTTAATTACACTAATTATTTAATATGTTTTAAAGTATAAATTTCACTATATGATGAATTCTAATAAAAGCCTTATGTGAAGAAAATTTAATAGTAATTTATGTGAGATTACTTCATTAAATATTTTTTTTAATTGTGAATAGAATGCAGTTTTGCAGTTAAGGCATCATTGAATGAATATTATACTTTTTAAATGATTAACATGAAAGTTTAAACCAAATATTTTTTAAACTTTGTTCTGAGATATACTTACGTGTTCATTAATAAAATTAATCTACTTGAAAAACTAAATTGCATATTTTTCTAAAGGTTTGTGTTCTTCATATTTCCTTTAAGTACATTTTTTCCTCTTTTGTTTGAACTTCATGGATTATGCCAAAGCATTTTATCATATTTATACAGACTATTTATAAGAAGATAATTTTAAATACTGAGTGAAATCTTAGAGTATTGCTATTATGCCAGCAACTTTTCTGTTTCTATAAAATCTAGCTCCTAAAATAATAATGTTGTCCCTCGAAGAATTGGGCTGATCTAGGCTGTTGTCAAAAAACAAAATGAGGAGCAATAGAGATACAATAGATGGATGAAAATAAATGTAACATTACAAAAAATAAAATCATACAAAAGTAAAACAAAAAAGGAAAAAAAAAAAAAAAAAAAAACTGAGTCAATGTCAAATTTCTGATCATAAATTTTCACCTTACACAGTACATCAGTGTGAACAATTGAGAAGTACGAAATGTAAGATAAATGTAAATTGACTACATGCTAGGTATAAGGTCTTGCAGAAAAGCTTTCTAAGTGTGAAATGAATGTATTCAGACTGCACTGATACAAATGAGCATATTTATTGCACAGATTGAAGGAATAAAATGCCCTTGCTCTTCTGTTGTTTTTTTATGCATATTGTTGTTCTGTTGTTATGCATGATTATTACAGTGAAGTGCTGCATTGCTGGAGACCTCTACTTATTACACTGAAAAGCAGATGCATTTTTGTCAAGATTCTGTGACTGACATGCAGCAAAACTTCACAATTTATGATTCCTTTTTGTGAGACACTCTTCATGTCAATCTTGAAATCCTAGATTACTACAGATTAATGGATGTAAGTCAGGAGGAGATTATAAAAATATTTGGTAAAAGATTATGTATAATTTCAAGATTAGTTTTAGAAGTACTGATAGCTTGAAGACAATCATTTGGAATATTGATTTCACTTTAAAATTGATTAATTTTTATTACATTGTAAGCATAAATTTTTATTACAATGTCGCATAATGTAAGCAATATGCTTACATTATGCGACAACATATCATACTGATAAATGATCAGTTGAACATGCTGATAATAAACTATTCTGCATTTGCAATTATAAATGGGACACATGGTCCATCTGCTTTTGCAATGAGGATATATCTTTCCCCACACTGCCTTTGTTATTTATAGCTCCATTATCCTTTTTTTTCTGATAAATTTTGTACATGTTTGCATCACTGCAAAAGGGCTCTTGTTGCTTGTTAATTACTTCCACCAAAGTGTGTTGATGAAACATTTTTGAAGTAATTACATCTCAATAATTATACTAAGGACTTTCATTGATATATTTTGTAGGAGTAAGGGGAATGTTGTGCTAAAATTCTCACTATGTATACACATAATAAAATTATAGAAAATGAAATACAATTAACAAATTTGTTAGACAAACATTGTACGGTCTTGGATGACAACAAGAAATAAGCTAAGGATAGTAAGATGATTGCTCAAAAAGCATAGAATTTATATATACCCTATAGCCTGTTTTTGTTGGTTGAGCCAGTTAATGAAAGTGTGACCTAAAAGAAGTAAATTGTCTCTGAAAAAACTACCTCTTTTATTGGTGTGATTACTACACATCAAATAAAGTCAAAGAGACATTGCAAGATCTGTGCTTTTAATTTTTAAGGGAATTTGAGACCGACTCAGTAATATTAATTAGGCACTGAAAAACCATTATTATTCCATCAAACCCATTTGCCCTATTAAATATATGTAACAGATATAATTTATTAAATATATTTAATGGAAATATATTTTACAGTAAGATAAAGTACATTATCTTAAAAATAATTTGCATTCTACCCATTGAAAATTCAACATTAACAATTTTTTATTATCAATAATGTTTACCAGGCTCTTTTGTGGATATAAAATATTAAGAGATTAAGAACAGAACAAATTATATAAATCCAAAAGTTCCATTGAGTCACTTGCAGCTTTGTGACTTTTTATTTCAAATTCCAACTGTAGCAGTGGAACTAGCATTCTAGTAGTTCAGGAACTGGTATATTATTACATCCATGTAAACTACTCAGCTTCAAGCATAGCACAACATATTCAAAACAAAAAATGCTAAATATTTAACTTTCTGGGCTTTCAGCAAATGTATTAGAATTTGCAAAAATGGTGTGAATGGGGCAAAATTAGAGAGTTTGGATGTATAGTCAGTGCAAGACTAAAATTTACTAAACTTATATCTCTGAAATAGTACAACATTGTGATTTGTGAGAGTACTTGTTTCACTTGGATCAAAGCAGATTTTCTAGTTTAGATTTAAAAAATGCTGGAAAAAATCACATCTAGTCTTATGGCAAAACTTCAAAAAGCATAATTTATTGAAAGTATTAGATACATTGTAGAATCTAAATTACAGAATGGAATATTTTAATATTATTAGACATTGTGTTATGCCTTGTGTTATGCTTATGAATGCTGAACCTAGAATTATGTAGAGTGATGATGAATTATGTGGTGAGATGCATCAATCTTCCTGCTATGTGTGACTTCTTAGTCTAATAATAACTGTAATTTATTTCTGCAGCTGTTTATGCTAAAATTTCTAAATAAATGATTAATGAATGAAATATTAGTTCAAGTCCTTTAAAGGTATGTGTTTAGTCTGATTTATGATTAATCTTTTAGGGTTTCCGAACCATGTGATATTGATGAATTTCTTGATGCCATATTATCAAAGTGCTCTGATTATGAAAAAAAATTAATGAGGTATATAAATATATATAGATATACAGTCATTAAGTCATTTCATCATGAATACTGTAAAATCTATAAGCAATTATTAATATAAATTTCAAGTACATTTTAATAACTATACCTTTTTAATTTATTAATCCTTAAAACTTAGTTCTGAATATATTTTCTTACTCGTTTTTTATTATTGTGTTAAAACGAACATACTTTTTTAATTATGGACATTTTATTTTGAATGTAAAGAAAATAACTAAAGTATTTATTAGTCTATGTTGTGTTTTGTGTTTTAAATCCCACAAAATATAGGAATTAATTTTAATTCTTATCTGATCTAAAAATCGAGGTCATTCAATTTGTTTCAATTTTGTTTTACATTTTAGATACATTCATTAGAAACTGATTTAATATTTAAACTTTATGTTATAGTAACATTACAATTACTGGGTAATAAAATCATTGTCTTGGGTTTTAATCACTAATCTTTTCTGATATATTAAGTTTCCAAGTTGCTCTTCTCTATTAAGTACTCAAATATATTGTATTTCTAAAAATATTCACTGCCAAACAAAGGTTAACTACATGCATGTAGTATTTGTTTATTATATTCTAACTTAGTCATTGATTACCATGTCATGTAATGCTATTGGTAGAATTTTCACTCTATTATTAATTAAACAATTTTAAACTCTTCTTATTTTCTATAAGTTCCACATTTTTTTCCTAAACAACTGCACTTATTTGGTCTATATTGTCATATTTCTTTCTGTTAATGGTAGTGTTTTATCAGTTACCCACAAGTTTTGATTACTGTTATTTTTTCTTTCAATGAAGAAATTTATTGTACATACCTTACAAAATTTTCGGATTTGAATTCTCTGGGAGTTCTTTATCAATATCCACATAATATTAAATAGTAATAAAAAATGATTTATTATGCTTAGATATATTATAAACACTTAAATTTCACTCTTAATGATACAAAACTTCAAAAGAATTGAACTTCATAAATCTGCTATCATTTATTAATATAAATATATATACATTATTTTATAGAATTTACTGTAAAAAATGCTGAAGTTTTTAAGTTTTATTTTTCCAGATTAATTCTAAATATTTCCCAATTATTTAAATGAATTTTATCAAAAAGCTCTCCATATCTGTAAAAATATTTGCATTTTGCTAGACGATTCAAATCTCAATCATAAATATTTCCTCTTTTTTTGTCAGCATTATGTATATAATTCAGTTTTCAAGTTTTAGTTTTGCTTATTTCTTACAAACTACTAAAAAAAAGAATTGTTTTCACTGTCAATATAGTTTAACACTTTTAAATTAAAATAATGCCACTTATCCATCATTTTTTATGATTTACAATTACATTAAAGTTGATTTTGATAAACAAAAAAGCTATTAGTACTTTTAACTCATTTTCAGAGATAAAACCAGTAATACAAGCAATAAATGTTCAGGGTGCATTTTGAATAACAAGTATGAAAAATTCCAAGATTTTTCTTTCCCCCCCCCCACACACATAAAATGATAACTACAATTTTGGGGAAGTAGATGGAGAAAGAAGTGTAAAATAAATTAAGTGGAAAAAATCATTTAAATTTTGAATCATTATAAGAATATTTACAAAAAAATTTAAATACTTTGAGCATTCTTAGAAATTTGCTCTCATTATTGAATCCAGTTCTTTGCTTGTTATAGCTGTAGAATTACTATGCATTTAGTAACTGCAGTCCTGCAATCCAAACTACATACTTTGTAACTTAATAAAAAGTGTGAACTTTGTAGTTAGTCTTCCTTTCATGTTTTCAGTATTTATTCATTTCCCAGTTTATTCAGAGTTATAAATTAAATTATTCAAAAACTGTATTTTTTTAAGCAATTTCAGTAGTTTAATTTCACTCAAAATTTAGTTTGAGATCTTTTCAAAATTTTTATTTTGTATATTTTTGGAAACAAAATAAGTATTCTTTTCTTTGTTAATTATTTTTGCATAATTTTTATAGTATTTGGTGGCCAGAAATCAGTTTACTGTTCTCAGAAAATTTGAAATTCGAAAGTCTTAAAGGCAGCCGTTGCTTGTCTTTTTTGAAATGTGCCAATGCATTAATTACTATAAAAGTAAGTCATTTTTTTTAAACTGATAAATATTGTCAGTGGTAATTAAGGTTTGGCTTGGTATTAATATTGGAAAAAATATTTTTTTTAAATATAAGATTGTTATAAAATTTTTAAAAAATAATTCTAGACATGAAATGGGAGGAAACAATATTTTTTATAACTGCACAGATCGGTGATTTGATTGCTTTAATAGATTTAATGTAAAGTATTAGCATTAAATCTCTTAGACCAGTCAATTTAATTTGAAAATTTTAATGTGTCCTTAGTTTAGTTAATGTATCTACTTATGAAGTTGATGTAATACTATACTCTATAATTAAAAACTACTCTTGTATATTGTATAGAATTCTGTTCTTGATTCCAGGCAATAGTGTTAGCAATTCAAACTTTAATATTATTATGTTTATGGTTAAAAAAAATTAGCCTGTAACAGATATTCTATAATTGTAATTTATAATTTTGGTGGCAATTCCAAGCATTTTTAAAGGATTTTTAAAATATATTAAAATTTCAGTATTGATATGGGATGTGATTTACTGCTTTTAGTTAGTTAGTTATTTCTTAGATGGCTCTAATAAAATGCTGTAATTAAATGTGATAAAAGGGACAGAAAAGGAAATCGTTAAAACAACAGTTTTGGTTCCCTGTCTAAAAAAATCACTAACTAAAAACGGTAGATCGCATGCTACATTATTGTCAATTTTTTTATACATTTTTTGTATTAGAAGACTTTGTCTGAAGTTTTCCATTGAAATTATAAATTTCTGTTTAAATATGAAGAAAAATATAGTTTTAATTCTAATTTATAATTTTAGCATAATAGTTCCTTTGAGGAAAGCTTATTAATTTTAGAAAAACTTCTTAATTTTTTGTTCTGCTTTCATCTAATTTTTGAGATGTTTTAAAGTGGTTTCGTATATCTTTTATGCTTAACGGTTTTTTAGGTAACAGATCTCCTGTTGGAAACTATACAGCTGATTTTAGATGCATTTAAGTTGCAAGAAGAACGCCAGATTCTCCACCATTTTTCGTTTATCTAAAAGTTGAACCAGTGGAGACTTTTGGCATTGTTACTTGTGTGCCTTCTTTTGAGCAATTTCAAGAAAAAATTTTAAATCTGATTGAAAAAGTAATTTTGCTTATTTATTTACTTATTTTATTAGAAAATGTTCAAATTTTTATTGCAATTGTATTTTAGTGTTTGTATGTAAATGTTAAATTTTTTTATCATTGAAAATATCAAAATAAAACTTTTAATTGAAATAATTTGTTCATGCAATTTCTTTTATAAATAGGAAATTCATACATAAATTGCTTTTTATTGGTTTTTGTAGAATCTGTGTGAGCTTTAAATCGCATTTTCAATTAAATATTTTTAGGTCAATCAAGTTTTGTGTGAAGTGCCTTCACTAGAGTCTTGGATGCAAAATGATGAATATGAACTGAAACTGAAAGTTTCTGTAACAGAATTTTATATGAATGAGCTGAAAAATGAATTCAAAGTTCATTTAAAGATGCATTATGAAAAAATTTGGGAGTTGTCTGATTTCTGCTGTATGATATTTATCTGGGAATATTTTATTTTTTTATTAATCATATTTTAGTATTATTAATGAACATTGTTTATTGATAGCATTATATATTGAATTTAATAGCAATTATCTCTTGCATAATAAAGTAGGTAGTATATTGGAATTTTCTGTTTCTTCTCATATTTCCTTAGAAATACATGGAAATTTCAATCTGAGCATCATTATATGTCTAGACACAGACATGTATATATACATAAAGAAGCCTAATATGAGGCTAAAAATTAAAAACAAAATTTTTATACCTAACTTGCACTATAGCTGCAGAATTGAAATACCATAAACTTAAAGCATTTAAAGTTAAAAGTAAAATTATATGTATATAATTATTAAGTAAATTATATATATATAAATATTTCAATTCTGCAGCTATAGTGCAAGTTACGTATAAAAATTTTGTTTTTAATTTTAGCCTCATATTAGGCTTCTTTAATATATATTATATATATATATGTCTAGACACATATATTGCACAGTTAAAATCCTTTTGCATATGTATTAATAGTAAGAGCATAAAATAAGTATTAAAAATTTTAATCATTATAAATACTTATAAAATCAAAACGTATAACTTATGAAAGTTATACGTTTCATTAATAACATACGAGGATTTATTCTTGATCTCATATGCTATGCTTATGCTGATTAATACCATACACTTTTTTGTATCACTAAGTCAAAAGTCGTTAATCCGGACTCGTCGGGACTTCGGCGATTCCGGATTATCGATTTTTTCCGGATTATAGATCATCAGTTTAAATCTCGTAAGATGGCATGCAGAAATTCTAAAATTAAAAATATGAAACCGTAATTTATGAAATAAAGAACAATTATGATCTAAAGAGTATCAAAATTTGCAAAAAGAAAAAGCTTAATATTTATTTGTTTACTTTATTAAACATTTCTTTCAATGTAAGTTGTTTAAGTTTTGCTTCGTTTCATGTGATAATACTTTCTCTTTAATTCTATTAAACAGACATAATTTCTTGTTGAGTTACAAAGTTCCGCCGTTCAAGTCCTATAATTGCTGTGTCAAGAACACCGACTAATTTGTCAATCGAAATTTTTTTGTTTTCAATAACCTCTGTCACTTTTCTTCGCTATCGGAAGCGAATTATAATGACGAAGAACTTGTTTTAAATCATATCAAAGACGGGAGCATATCGAGATGAAATACTACATTTGGTTAAGGAATTATAAGCCAAATAAAATAAAAACATCTGCGCTTGAAGATAAGGATAGTGCTGACAAATCAACTTCCAATTCATTACGCGCCGAGGCATTCCCCCCGCCGAGCAGCGTGAAATTGATAAACAGATTTCGGATTTCAAAACATACTTTCGCTTTAGATCCTTTACATATTAACAAATATATATCGGAAATTCTATTTGATATAATCGAAAGTTTAAGCTTACTTTTATAAAATTGCTCTTACAGTCTGCAAAAAATAATAAGCCGGATGCAATTCGAAAATTAAGGAACAACGCAATCATCAACATTAACTGAAATACATAATTAGATAATTTTAGCTTATACGTCCATTATACATAAAATGCGCACGCGAAAACGTATTCTGCACTTGCGCACACTCATATGCGCAGTCGTAAAAGGTCTTACGCGCACGCGTGAACGCCTCTGCGCATGTGTCAACGCGGCGCATGCGCAGAAAGTTTTTAGTTTTGATGTCCGGATTATAGATCATTCCGAATTATGGGTGTCCGAATTAACGACTTTTGACTGTATAAAAACTTTCTCATAACATCAAAAACATTACTAGGAAATAAAGCATTTGGTACTTTAAAACAGTTTCTTCTGGTTCATTCAGGATTAAAGATAATGTTTCAACAATTACTTTTTCAACTATTTGATGCATCAAAATATTTGTTAAGAATTTTACATTTGATATTATAACTCTTTCTTGATAAAAATATTTAATACCAAGTATTTAATAGTAGTTCTAAATTTCATTTTTTAAAGTAAAGAGAATCAATTTTTTATTTTTATTTTCGAAGTAAAATTTTCTCTTGAAAAAAGCAAAGCAGAATTTGCTGTCTCAGCATTATTAAAACTTTCTGCTAAATCTAAAATTCTAAACAAAAAAATTAGCACTGCACAACAGTGAACTTATAACTGAATATACTTGCCTAAAAAAAATTATATTTTAAAACCCTTCTTTGAGCTACCATATGATAAACTAACAAATCATTGTAATTGAACTTACTTATGTTAACTTTATTTATGATGTAATTGGACATAATAAGAAATTTTAGAAAAATATCTAATTGGAAAATGACTTCTTATATGTAAAATTTTGTATGCTTTTCATTAATAACTTTTAAATGCAAGTAAATTGTGAATTTTGCTCAGATATTCTTATTTAATTACCTTGAACTAAAAAGCACCAGCTTTGTATAATAAACTTTATTGCTATTCTAAAAGATGGAATATTTAAGAGAAAAATTGCCTGCAGCGCAGTGCGGCTAAGAACGCTATTCTGGAACATAAACATGAACAACTGTTGCCACTCACGCAAACTTAATAATAAAAAGCACATTGCCAGTAAGAAGATTATTGCAAAAATCATAACATAAAATCAAGCAGTGAGGAAATAAAATATACAAAGAAAAAAAAAAGGAATGCAAATATTAAACATACATCCAACATTATTAGTTATACATATTTATTCACTTCTTCTTTTGTACATTATTACTAACATGTCAGCTGATGTTAAGTTTTTATTCATTTATTTATTTTGTAATTTACATCTAATTAATGAAGGCATATTAAAAGTAGGTTTCATTTCTAATTAAATTTCTTCAAAAATGTAAAAGGACTTACATAATATTGATATCTTAAATTTTTATTTGGAGAGCTGAAAGTTATTTATAGTTATTGCATGAAATAAAACTTACAATATTTTTAGATATTAAATAAATATATAAGGCTAGTGACATAAAAAACTATTTTCCAATTGTTTTGTAGAAAATTATTGTATATCATATTTTATGTCATATGTTTTCTCATGTCATATATTTACATCATTTAAAAGATATATAAAATTTTCACTTAGAAATGTGTTTCTTATAAATTTGAAATACAACTGAAGATCTGTCCTTATATTTCTGCAAATAAGAATTAAGTTCTTTATGACTGTCTAAAATTCTCTCATGGTAAATCATGCGAAGCTTGAAAGTATGGTAGGATATTTTTTCGTAATATGATACATTCTCAAAACAGAATTTTATTACCATGAATTCTATACCTATGTTCTGCTAACAAATTTTTTATTTAATCACTTATTTCTTTTTTTCAGTGCAGAAATTTGATTATATTTTATCTGCTAAAGCATTTAATGAAGTTGAAGCATTTCTTGAAAAAGAATATAGTTTTTCTGACGTCTGCAAGGTATTTTTATTGTAAAAAAGAAATTTTTATTTCAGTTAAAGTATTTATTTACAGAAAAATATATTTTAGATACAGCTCTTTACAGTTTAGATGTATATCAAAATGCTTATTTTCAAAATTTTACTAAGTAATCAAATTAAAAGATTTTTGTATTTTTAGTTTTCATTAGTAATATTTTAGGTTAGAAGCATTATCTTGTATTCATTATAATTTTTTTTCGGATCAGCTAAGAAATGAAACTCTTTTTAATTATGCAGTCTTATATTCCAGTTTAGAACCTAAGATATTTTAATTATTGTGAGTTTTGAACAGTTATAAGCGAAGTTTTTCCTTCTACGCTTTCAAGTGCTTTATGTACACTTTATACAAAATGGTTATTTATTTGAAGCTTTTGAGAATAAACTATGATGTTTATTATTTTAAATTCCATGAAAATGTTAGATAATAAAATTATAGTCTAATGTTGATAGCATAAAGCTATGAAGTGCCGACGCTAGGCATTTCGATGTCCAGTGCAATCACTTCAATGCCTGGATTCTGCCATCCAGTAATTCCATAAATTTTATGAATCTTACCACCCTTAAATTCTGCCCCCCCGGTATGGCTGCACTTGTTTCATGTGCTCTGGTGCCAGCCCTGAACCTATGTACCATTAAGCTCATTTAACATTGATTCAAATAAGTATTTATTCAATGGTTGTTCTGCATGTCTTAATAATGAACAAAAAATTGTCAAACTAAGATAACTCTTTTCCATTTGAAGCTTTCTCTTTTCCCATGCTTAACTCATGTTATACAATTTTTATTCATCAGGTGTTAAAGATAAAAAGATTAGGTACAGAAAAGTCTTTTTATCTGCAGGCAATGCATTCTATGATCTATCACATTTGTGTGAAATTGTGAAAAACACAGCATACTTGTAGTGCTCGTGTAACATACAGTGATATGGTAGAATTTAATTTAAATATAATGACATTATCAAAATTAAATAAATTAATAAACTCTACTAGATTGCCTATTACGTTTGTGGTACATTTTATTTCTTTCTCTAGCTGAAATACGAATCACAGTTAAGTGATTCTATTATGCTAGCCTGATTCTGAAGAACCAACAGAGCAATAAAAACATCTATAATTGTTTATGTACGGTTTCTAAATAATGTAAAATGCACAGTTTCAAAACATAAAAACATCAATCAAAAATTATGCTTTTCATAAACCATTGCATAAGTATTAAAGCATAAATTCAAAGCATGTATATGTATTTGGGCTTACAGTTAGAATTGCCATTATAAAGCATTATTAACGGAGAAATTTATTCTTCTTTCCTATATCAAGTTACATTTCATTCTCGCCTTGCTATATTTTGTTCCTTATAAACTATTTATTTCTTTAATTTTCAGTTTTTTTAGGTAAATGTATAGTAAACCATTAGTATGGCACATAAAACTTTTTCATAATGATTATTTGGAATTATTTTAATACTTAAAATGTATTAAGACACAAATATTGCTAATTGTTTCTGCTTTTTTTTTACCGATCTATTATTGAACAGTATAGCTGTTTAGAATTTATTGGTAATTAATTTTCTCTTTTAGCAACTTAATTTTTATCTTGAGAAGAGAAAAGAAGTTAACAACTTGTGGAATCATAGGGTATTAATATTATTTCATGTGGATTTTAAAACCTTGAAACACCAGCTTATTGCATTGCATGATAATCTTGTTGAACAACTAAAAAGTGCAGCAACAAAATTACTGCGGAACCTTAAAAAAAAGTGAGTTTTCTTTAAATATGTTTCTTTTTTATTTTGAATGAAGCGTTTCTTGTTATTCAAATTTCTTAATCATTTAGACTTTGATTGTAGTAATTAATTTGCTGTTATTTATTTACTTTATATATTGAAAGAAATATATATATAACTGAATAATTTTCTTTATACATAGTATTTTTTAAATAATGTACAATTTAATTGAAGTTATTGAACACTGTAATTATTATACTTTTTACCTTGTCAGCAATGTAACAGAAAATAAACTGAGAAAAATGGACGTAGTGTATCATAATAGTTTCTGGGGTTTTAATGTATCATTATAGTATTAAACAAACAAAGCATTTACTAGTTAATAATAATGGGAAGAATTCTTAAGTAGTTGTAGACTTTCAAATTATCTATGGGTATGTGCTCTTTCGTGATATGGTTATTTAAAGACCATATAAATTTTTAATACTGAGCTCACATCCATGCTGCATGCATCGGTTTCCTGAGCATGTGTCCAGACATTCTTCAACACTACAGAGAACATGTTCTTACATGGTAAGATATTTTCTGTTTCTTACATGAGCAACATTATATTTATTGGCATCAAATGACATCATGATTTATAGTGCTAGTTATTTGCCTGCTGTTCTATTGCAGTTGGTAATTCCATACATTAAGGTATGTGTCTGTCTTCATGATATTCATAAATTGATGCACCCAAATTAAATCCACATTGTGAGTCATGGGACTTCTGAAAGCATTCATTTATAACAAATGCTTCAATTTTGGATATACATTGTATTACAAGAAGATATTATTTTTGATTATTTTATCATTCTTCAAAATTTGTGCCTCAAATTTAGAAGCATTCTTTAAATGAATTAATGGTGTACAAAGCTATAAGAAATCATCAGGTATGACAGAAATTGCTATGACGCAGATGGCTTGAGGTTAGAAGTTTATTATTTAGAATTCATGTTATTTCATTTTCAGAAAATATAGTAAAAATCAACTAATTCAATCATCCACTGAAAAACATCTGAAAATACTAAAACTGAGTGTAGGTTGGCAGTTTTTGAGTAGTATCATGTGTGAAAATAGTCATTTGTTCTAAACTATAATCTTAATTATTTGATCTAATAATTACTGATCAATGTTTCACTTACCAAAAAATAGTTTGAAGATGAAGTACATACTCATAACAGTATGCTAGCAGTTTATTGTCTTAACAACATAACATGTTAGCTAATATAACTTTATTTTATTAATTGTCTGTGGTTGTAAAATCCAAACAATTTTTTTTAAATTAATTTTATGTGAAATCATGTCCTTTTGAAATCATCTGTGTATATGTATTGAAGCTACTTTCATATGAAATTTTGGAAGAAAGTAATTTTTTTCATTTTAATAGTAACAAATGTGGAAGTTAAATATAAAAATTACTTTAATTAAGGAAGAAATTATTTTTAACTGACGTTTTGTTGAAACTCAGTCCAATTTAATTAACGTTTTGCTGTTATAGCAACAGTTTGATAAATTTGGACAGTTCCTGCACAATTTAGTTTTAGATTGAACTAATGCATTTGTTTACAAGTTTTCTATAGTCAGATTTGGTTTAAGAAACTGTAAGATCATTAGCACTTTTGATTTTATTGCATTTTTGTATTTCTACATCCAACTTGTGTGAATATAAAAAATAAAGTTCCTTTTTTTTTTTTTTTTTTTTTTTTTTTTTTTTCAGAATTTGTTTTTAACCCAAACAGAGAAACCTTAATTGCTTCAAAAAAGCACTGTTAGGTTTAGAAGGAAACAATATGCATTTTAAAAGCTCAGAACTTTTTTAAGGTCTTCTCATCTATCTTTTTAAATACACAAACTAAAAACCATGACTGTGAGAGAGATGGTAACATGTTTAAAATAATTTCGTATCCCCAAATTTTATGACATAGTACCAGTCTTAGTAATTTTATAATTATGTTTTCCCTTCAACTCCCAAATTTTATTCAAAATAGTTCCCTTGAAAAGCTGCAATGTTTTAAGCTTGAATGAGAAAATGAAATGATGCAGTGTCTGACAATTATGTGCAGTGCAGCTAGAATCCCAGAAATTCAGGGCCCACAGCACATGTTTCTTGTGCTATTGCAACAAACCAGCACTGTGCATGGTTACTACTTTTCCTTCATAAAAATTTACTATATCTAAATACTGTTCTTTGTATTAAATGTATGTTCCTACTACGATCATAATTTGAAGTAATGTAATTCAATGTAATATTTTTTCTTTAGAATTTGTTCAGAATTTGAAACAGTGAAGAAAACTCTCTTGACTGTTCCAGCAACAGCTAAGGAAATGGTTGCTTTATTTCATTACTTTGACAATATGAAAAAGAATGATTTTGACTTAATGTTAGAGAAAGTAAAGGTATGTATTGCTTGTTAGTTCTGTATGTTTGCAATACGTTTCTGATGGATTAATACTTAGTAGATTCAATAAATTCTCAGAGAGATACTGACAAATTTAGCCTTATGAAAATGTTTTAAACACTGTAAGTTTCAAAATGTAATTATTTTTGAATCCATATCTTCGATAGCAAAACTGCTTGAAATACTTCTGAAATTCATTTTTGATGATATTTTCTACTGCATCCTCTGAAGCTGCATTCACAGTATCTTCATTCAATGGCTTCCTATTGGGAAAATATTTAAATACAGTCAAAAGTCAATAATTCGGACACCCATAATCCGGAATGATCTATAATCCGGACCTCAAAGCTACAAACTGTCTGCGCGTGCGTTGCGTTGACGCATGCGCGTAAGACCTTTACGACTACGAATATGCGTGTGCGCATGCCCAAAATACGTTTACGCATGCACGTTTAATGTATATCGGACGGTATAAGCTAAGCTAAAATTATCTAATTCAGTTAATGTTGCAGTTAATGTTGTTTCTTAATCTTCGAATTGGATCCGGCTTATTATTTTTTGCAGACTGTTAGAGCAATTTCATAAAAGTAAGTTTGAACTTTCGATTATGTCAAATAGAATTTCCGATATATATTTACTAATATGTAAAGGATCTACAAAGCGAAAGTATGTTTCGGAGTCCATCAAACAAAAAGTGGAATTGCTGCAAAAAATGGATAAAGGCATATCCTTTGTTTATATAACCATTCCGAAATCTGTTTATCAATTTCACGCTGCTCTGCGGCGGGGGGACGCCGCGGCGCGCAATGAATTGGAAGTTGATCTGTCAGCACTATCCTTATCTTCAGGGCAGATGTTTTTATCTTATTTGGCTTACAATTCCGTACTAAATGTATTTCATCTCGATGTACTCAGAGTCGTAGCTAGGGTTTTCAGCGCCCAGGGACAACTGAAGATTTCGCGCCCCCTACTGCTTGCCAAGGATGGAAAAGATTTAGTTCTAAAATGTCGTAACATCAGTTTGGCGCCCCTTGGATTCTGCGCCCGGGGACAGATGCCCCCCCTTGCCCCCCTCTAGCTACGCCCTTGGATGTACTCCGTCTTTGATATGATTTAAATCAAATTCCTCGTCATTATAATTCGCTTCCGATAGCGAAGAAAGTAAAGTAAACAAATAAATATTAAGCTTTTTTTTTGTAAATTTTGATACCCTTTAGATCATAATTGTTCTTTATTTCATAAATTACGGTTTCATATTTTTAATTTTATAATTTCTGCATGCCATCTTACCAGATTTAAACTGATGATCTATAATCCGGGAAAATCGATAATCCGGAATCGCCGAAGTCCCAACGAGTCCGGATTAACGACTTTTGACTGTATCAGAAAGTGGGAGATTTAAAAATTGGAGATGCCTTTGAAGCACTGTTGGCTCATTTTCACAGTTAAACAAGTGCTAAATGTTACATTGGAGCACTGTCATGGCCTTGTTAGTTGTAAGATATCTAGATATTTTATGCAAATTATTTCCATTCTGTAACAATTGCAGTTAGTGCTTTTTGTTGATTGTGTCACTCTGTGAAAAATTTCATAAGAAATTATGCCTTTGCATTTAGGAAATACCTTCATTACCTTAACTGTTGACTAGTAAAGTAACTCTCCATTCACTTTTTTTTCATTCGTGAGATGTTGGATGACTGGACAGCTAAGGATTTTCCAAAAGATTATAAAAGAAGCACCACAATTCATCTTGCATATTCATGCAGAAGTATCAGGTCTTCATCTACTGTGTTCTCCAAAAATTTGCACATATTCCTATAAGGTAGGCTTAAAGTGAATATTTTCTTTAAGAAGAATTTGTAAAAATAGATTTGAAGGAAACTGTGAAGTAAGTTACCAGTAAAAGTTCTGAAAGAGGTTCAGCAATTGCCCACACATTAATAAAAAAAATGTGACTGTGAGGGAGCTGGTATTTTAGAAGGTAACGTGTTTAAAATATTTTATATATTCATATATAACAAATTTTGTGACATAGCATCAGTCTCAGAAATTTTTCAAAAATTATGTAGTTTATCTTTTTCTGAAAGTTTTAAATTAATTTTTTAAATTTTATTTCATTTAAATTTAGTTAAATTTAACTAGACTAAACTAAATTTTATTTATTTGTTGTTCTATTATAGGATGCTTTACTTAAAACGTCAGAGCTCATGAAACTTATACCATTAGAATCTGATGATGTAAAATTAAATATTGAAATGTTGATGTGGCCTCAGAAATTCAATCCCATTTTCAAGGAATGTTCAAAGGTATTTATTTATATTTTAAAATCTGTGCATTATACATCACTGTGATTTCCCTCCCCCCCAAGTAATAGAAAGTATGAATAAATTTTTCTGCACTTGTATTAGATCTTAGAAGAATCAAAATTGCGTTTTGAAGATAAGCTGGCAGCTGCCATAAAGAAAGTGAAAGTTGATTTACAAAACCTTGCTGAACATGCTGCTGATCTGGAAACTCTGGGTGATATTAATATGGTCCAAGAGTATAGAAAAGAAGCTAGGAATTTAGTCAAGCGTGTAAAGGCTACTGAAGCAGCAATAGCATGGATAAATGAAGTATTTTTTTTAAGTTATTTAATTTTATTTTTAGGGAATTTTTATTATTATTTTTATTACTATATCTTAATCCTAAAAATGTAAATTTATGTGATATATATAATATTTATGATGTTAGTTTTTTTTAATTTTAATTGAGAAAGTATAATAATTATGCGACTTAAAATTTTTTTTAAAGTTTTAATCCAAATTTTGATGTGAAATGTTTTTTGAAAATTATTCTTATCATTTAAGGAAATTTTTATTATTATCTTAATGCTAAAAATGAAATTTGTCTTACACATTGAATTTGTCTAATATATTCAGTTCTGTATTGAAAGTAACCATTATGTTTAAATGATTTTTAGTACCTGTAATTTAAATAAACATGGAATGGAATTTATAAAAGATAATGAAATTGTTATCAATAAATTCAAATTTATTTCTTTATTTTTGAGTCATAAAATTAAAGCTTTAGAGATTTTCTTCCTAATTTTGTATAGAGGAATTACAAATATCATTGAATCTTTAGCTGTATATATTTATTTTTATTGGTATTAATGTCAGATTATTATTTTTAGTTAATGTATATATTTTCCTCTATTCTCTGAACTGAATGAATATTATTACGATATTTAGGAAGAGTCATTAGCAAAACAAGCTCCTACTTCATATCCTGAAGTTACAACAATATTAGATGTCATAGAACCTTTTTCCCAGCTGTATCAGTTATATGTTGAATGGGATGAAGCTGAAAAAGAGTTTGTAAACTTCATATCTTGTTTCAAAATTATTCTTTTAATAAGGGTAGTATAAAGATACTAAGTTCAAATAGAAATTATATACTATTAAGATTTTTGCACATTTTGAAAATACTTTATTAATTTCATTTGTCTTTTTGTGGTTTTTAAATAAAAATTTACTGCTATCTTAACATTTATTGGAAATCTTAATAAATCTGATCATGTTTTTTAAAACAAGTCGTATCATAGAAGAAGTTATGTTCAATTTTCTGCTTATATTGAGGTTTATATTATCTCCATATCAAAATGATTATCCTATTTGTATAAATTCTTTGTGTCTAAATGATTGCTCCAATAAAAATAAAAAAAAAAAAAAAAACACTTCTCTTGGTGTGTCACTAATTTCAAAGCATATTTATTATGTATTACAACTATAGAGTATAATAATATTCTACCACACATATATATATAATCATATGCAGTGTTTTTAATTTTTCAAATTTATTGCTTCATGTTCCACATTAATGGTCTGCACTTACCAGATACATGCCATAAGCTAATATCTTTAGTTACATGAATGATATTTTCAGGTTGCTATAATATATTTTAGTTATTGATCACTTATTTGTTGTTATGTAATAAAAATGCTCAAAGGGCCCCATTAATTTTTAATATTGGCAAATTTTAATCAAGATTTTCATATTGTTCCACAAATTATCTTGATTTATCATAGTTATTACATATTCTGTTGATAGAAGAAGCAAAGTAATATTTGTTTTGTAAATTTTCCTAGAAATTTTTTCCAATTTTATTAGAGCTGAATTAGTAGATCATATACAAGTATGATATTGGTATCATTTTAATCACAATATTTTTGTTTTAAATGATTGACTAATTCAAATAAGATTGAATTTTATTATTTTATACAAAAATTTTCTTTTATCCCATAATGTTGCAATCTTTTGTTGAAATTGTCTTCTAATAAAATATTCATTTAAAATGACCTTTCATGGAATGGAATTTATAAAAGATAATGAAATTGTTATCAATAAATTCAATTTATTTCTTATTTTGAGTCATAAAATTAAAGCTTAGAGATTTTCTTCCATTTGTATAGAGAATACAAAATTGAATCTTTAGCTGTATATATTATTTTTATTGGTATTATGTCTTTTAAATGTATATTTTCTCTTTCTCTGAACTGAATATTATTACGATATTTAGGAAAGTCATTAGCAAAACAAGCTCTACTTCATATCCTGAAGTTACAACAATATTAGATGTCATGAACCTTTTTCCCAGTGTATCAGTTATATGTTGAATGGATGAAGCTGAAAAGAGTTGTAAACTTCATATCTTGTTTCAAAATTATTATTTTAATAAGGTTGTAAAAGATACTAAGTTCAAATAGAAATTATTACTATTAAGATTTTGCACATTTGAAAATACTTATTAATTTCATTTGTTTTTGTGGTTTTAAATAAAAATTTACTGCTATCTTAAATTTATTGAATCTTAATAAATAGGATCATGTTTTTAAAAAAGTCGTATCTAGAAGAAGTTATGTTCAATTTTCTGCTTATATTGAGTTTATATATCTCCATATCAAATGATTATCCATTTGTATAAATCTTGGTCTAAATGATTGCTCCAATAAAAATAAAAAAAAAAAAAAAAAAAAAAAAAACACTTCTCTTGGTGTGTCACTAATTTCAAAGCATAATTATTATGTATAATACAACTATAGAGATAATAAATATTCATTTAAATTTTATTACACAACACATATATATATATCCTCTATTCTGTGAATATATATATGCATGTATCACAAGTAATATATATATATATATATATATATATATATATATATAATAACAGTTATTAATTTTTCAAGCTATTTATTGCTTCATGTTCCACATTAATGGATTCTCTAGCACAAGTAATGAATACCAGATACATGCATCATATAGTTCCTAATTATCTATGCAATAGTTACATGAATGATTATTTTCATTATTTATTAAAGGTTGTCCTTATAATTTGTATGATTTTAGTTATTGGATTTCACTTATTTCAAGTTGTTATGTAATTTTGCATGCCTGTTTTTAAAAATGCTGCAATCCCCAGCCTAGAAAAATATTAAGACACTTTAATAGCCCTTATAATGTTTCAATTTGAAATTTTAAAATAATATTAACAGTAGTACAAATTTTAATCATTTTAATATTGGTATAAAATTTTATTAAAGTCACTAGACAGTGTTTCCTAAGCAAATGATTGCATATTTCTTCCTAATATTTGCTTCCAAGAGTCCTTAGCTTGAATGAAATGCATGGTAAATCAATAGTTCATTATGACATATTACTGTCAGGTGATTTTTTTTTCAACACATTTGCGGGGAAAATCAATATGTTCATGTGGTTTAGAGGAGCTATTTATGAAACACACCAAGAGTAAATATTTGAAGAACTTTCAGGGAAAAAAATTGTAAGATTTACATTACATCACTAGGTTAATGAAGAAATCTAGAACCATGGTGTGTGTTTTGGACCATATAAGTGACCAATTTTATTTAGTAGCTGATTGTTCTCCATGGTACTGTGGCCATTTTCCTTTTCCCAATAATTTTTTATATATTTGGATCATTCTTACAATAATCAGTGTGATTTAAGTATTGTGTAGCCAAAATATTCAAAATCCCCTTTATAGCATGTTGGTATACATTTTAATCACAGTCAATATTCCCTTGGGCATGGACTCAAAATGTGCTGATATTATTCCTAATGAATATTAACACATTTTGACATAATGGTGTTTTTAAGCTTATTCATATTGTTTGATGTTGCTTCCCGGGTTGAATTGATCTTTTCACTTTATTCCATAAATGCTGTGTAAGACTAAATCAAAAGACCGAGTTGGCCATAGAAGCAATTTGAACTCAAAATCTTGTTCTTCAAACAAGTTTGAGACCAACCATATAGGGATATTAGGTGCATTGTCTTGATGAGCGCGACTTTCTGCATCAGAGAGCATTGCAGCTTAAATGAGTGCATGGGATGAGCAGTGATACTGAGGTAAGCTGAGGTATTGAGAGGAGTTACTAGACTTATGAAGGAACTCATTATACTTCAGGAAAATATTCCCCAGACCATTATGTTATCTCTATCAGCTTGAAAAGCTGTCATTAAACAAGAGAGTTTCATAAATTTATTCTTTTTGCTCCATATTCTGATCCTATCTTCTCTTCATTTAATAGAAATGAGATTCTTTGGGTCAAGAAACTTTTCTCAATAATCAGGAGTCCAGTTTTGTTGCTTTTAATTGCTTTGTGATGCACCTGCATTGCACTAAGCTGCAATTTGTTGTGCTATTGCTCTTCAATATATTAATGTGATGATTTGTACTAGCAGCATTTCACCTCTTTTGTTTTATCAGCCTTTTCAGATCATAACTATCCTGATTGAGTGAAGTTCTTTTGCTCAGATCCAAGATACATTTGCATAAGAAAAGCTTTCAGAGTTAGGAAAACTGTCATTCTGTACCCACGATCAAGTTTCATTCAAAGTCAGTTAAATTTCACTTTTGCACTAACTACAGAGATAAATATTTCTTTTCCAGATTGAGTATGCCTCAATAAGCTGTACTGCAGGCAGTCTTTAATTACATATGAAGCATGATGTTTGAGTATGCATGAAGATTAATAGGATAGATTTCCAATTGTTTCTGTGATTAGTAATATACTTTGTATGCACTGCAGTACATTGCAAAAGACATATTTAATATCTTAGATAGTAATTTTTTTAAAACTTTCATGATTTTTGAAAACAGTTTGTAATGAATTCTGTATACATATACCTACACACATACATATATATATATATAGAGAGAGAAGGTATTTAGATAAAATTTAGCTGTTTTTTGAGGCAATGATATTATTTTCATTTATAGAAGGTGTGAAAATTTTTTAGATTTTTTTGTTCAATTTTCAAAACAAATTATTTTAATATTTTTTGCATGGCATTTTGATGCATAACTGCTCTTTTTATCTCCTCTTCATGAATTTTTTCCTTAAAAATTATTTATTATAGGTAGATAGAATGAACTTTAAATTTTACAAGTGAAATATTTATTGATAAATTTTATGAAGTTATGTTTGTTGTGTTTTTTAATACTTATATAATAAATTATTTTAAAAATTAGATGGATGGATGGTGCATTCTATGAGTTTGATTCTGCTGCTATTGATGCTAAAGTATCAGAGTTTAAAATTGAGGCTTTCAAAATCAAGAAATGTTTACAAAAGTTATTGAAGGAAAAACTGAAGGAATCGAAGAAAAACATAGTCACTGAAGAAATACTTCCACCATTGAAAATAATAGATAATGTTATTAAAAGAATCACTAAATTTGCAGTAAGAATGTGTATTTAGTTAAGGTATTTATTGCATAGGTTATTCAGTGAAGACTGGCATATGTAGTATATGAAGTACATGCACTTAATTTTATGTATTAGCATTTTTGTCATGTTCAGTTACTCTTCTTGAAGTGAAATTGGAAAGAATTAAAGGATATATAGGCTTTCGATGGAGTGGTCAATACTTTAAGCTTGCAATTAAAAAATCTTGGGCTTGATTCTTCCTAAGATGGCAGCTGATTTTTCAGAGTTTCTGCTCACACACCTACACACAAGGGGGGGGGGACTAGGCCCAAATTAACTTTCTTTCACTCTCTAACTTTGTTGCTGTGATTCTTTAAAGATGTATTTAAAGTAATTTGAAACATAATGTCAAAAGAATATATAACACCTTTAACTGTCATTAAGCATCGTGAGCATCTTCAGAACTGGTTTTTGATCTCAGAATTAAGTTTCAGAAAAAGAAAATGTTGTATTGTATGCTGCAAATCACATTGCATCTCAAAACAATATCTGTATTTTAATTTTTCTACTTATATTATATACTTGTGGTTTCTCATTATGTTGATGAAGCTTTTCTTGCTTCCCCCCCCCTCCTAAAAAAAGAATGTGTTTCAGAACTTTATTCTTTGTCTCTGTTTATTCTATGAAACCATTAAAAGGAACACTCAGTTCATCACTTCAGAATTTCAAAATATTTTTTAAACTAAAGGGAAACATGATCAATGTACTTTGAATCTCAGTATGTTGAATAGAGTATTTCTTAAATTTCTGTTGCTGTTTTATGGAAAGTACATTCAATGGCGCCATTTTATTTACAATATTCAGACATTTTTCTAAACAAACAAAATATGCAGATAAGAAGCAAGTGAATTAAAAACCCATAATAATAATTAAATGATCTGTCCTTGAATGAAGCTTAGTCATTTTATTCAGTCTAAATAGTTTTTTCTTCAAAAGAAGATGTGGCTCTATAACACCAGATATTTCCATGAAAAGCAATGCCTTTCTTTATTGAACAGCCTGCACATTTAATTTTGTTATTTCTGTCTGTACATTATTTTTATAACATCTCAACTAACTGTTGTTAAACTTTAATTAATGTACAGTCTTATTAAATGAAGTAACGTTATATTTCATAATTAGACTAAGATTACTCTACATCCACTTTTATTTCAGTTATATAATCTGAATTATAAAGCAGCAATCATTCTTATTCTTTTAAATATAAAAAATTATTTTCGTTTTCTGTATATTTATTTTATTTATTTATAATTGTTAGTAATTAGTATAACAATTATTGTTTCAATTAATTTAAAGCAGTTACTTTCAAATTTTGCAATTTGTATTTCGGAAAACTATATAAATTGTAATAATTTGCTATACAAATAATAGAGATTATTGTTATATTTTTAACTTATCGGTCTTTTCAGTGTATTTGATACTTATATATTTCTGTAACTCAGTAATTTAATTATTTCTAGCGTTTTGTTCCTGCTATGATCGTTCTTTGTAACCCTGGCATGAAAATACGTCACTGGAAGATGGTGTCAGAAATTGTTGGCAAACGGGTCATACCTGATACATCAACTACTTTTAAAGATCTTATTGAAATGAAAGTTCATGAGTATGTGGATGAAATAACTCCTATCAGTTCTAAAGCTTCCAGGGTAATATTTTGCATAACCATTTTATTTAAATTATCAAGTGCAACATTCAGTTAAATGCTTTTATCATGAGAAATTGTGTCAGCCTCGGTTTATTGTAATTTTAAGAAAAGATATTTGTTCTATATGCAGTGGTGAGCTGTAGGGTCTTACGTGAGCCCTTGTTAATTTTTTCTCTAATTTACAAGCACCTTCTCCATTTTATTTGCATAAAACAAGTAAATTAGTTTTACATTAAACTAAAAGGAATTAACAATGATTGATTAATTCTATGTTAAAATAAAAGGAATTAATGATGACTTCAAGGATTAGCAATTGAAAGCAAGAATAAATTTTCTCAAATTACCGTTAGAATAATTAGTTAAATAATACATTTCTTTAAAAAATAGATTATTTGCAGCCACTAAAGTAAATAGAAAATTTTAAATCAAAATGAAGAGCTAAAGTATTGTTGCGCTCATACTGGTTCGCGATAGATTGAATGCACAAAGAATTGATGATACAATAAAATTTTTTTACCAAAAAGAACACCTTCACAGTTCTAGGACATTCCACAAAAATACTCGTACAGCTCTTTACATTATCACAGAGTACAATCAATAACTATATCAAACTGCTCTAAATGTTAAACACAACGCAATGCAAAGCGCATCTAAACAGCGCAGCTCACTCGGAGCTGGGTAAAAACGAGAGAAACTGACTGACTGACTGATAACTTATAGCCAGAATACCACTGAGATCAGCAGTTTATCTGGCTCAATCAAATTTATGCCGGGTGGGCACAATAACATAGAACTATCTTCACATAATGTCCGCAGTAAGGAGGAGAAAGACGGATAAAGAATAGGAAGACCAGCAACGCAAGAGCTCACTAGCAAGTAACCGGCCCGGTAAAGGCATGACTAAGTGGGAGTCATAAAATGAGTGTAGAATGTGAATAAAACTAGTGAATTTAAGAAATACACAGTACAATAAATGAGTAAGATACAAAATTAAGAATGCTAATAAACATATTGGGTACATTATTTACAGGTGGGCACTAGGTGGGAAACTGATGCTGTGAGGTCTTATATACTTTTCTCTCCTGCGCAGAGATATTTCTAGTACCTTCTACTTCTTGAAATTATTGGTAGGCGTATGAAGGTTGGATACAATTACAGCTACATATAGCATCAGTTACAATACCCTTTACAGTTATATAAAGAGCGGACCAAAATGTCGCCTTTGGAACTTTGCGGTTATACTGGCCTTCAGCAGGAAAGCAAAATCCTGCTCTTGTCAGTTCCTAATGTGATCCCATGTAGGGTCTGACAGAGTAGAAATCTGAAACAAATTTTCTCTCGTGGATGTAGAAATGTGCCAGAGAAAGAGAAAAAAGAAGCACCTTGCTCCTGTACTGTTACATCTTGGATCCACCAAGCACGGGGCAGAGGGAGGAACTTCGGATGATTTGTGTAGGATAGCCCGAATACTAACTGTTCATTCGTTGGAGCCAGTCACGTGGGAGGTCATCCTCCCAGAAACTGACCCCGATCGATGCTGCTTGAAAACCAGAAAACTGGAACTTAAAATATCAAGGATAAGCACTTAAAATGTTCAGAAGATCCAAATAACTTAGATGATAGAAAGCATGTCAGAACATTTCAGCTGGAAAAACGATGTCACTGCGCGTCTGGGTTGTTGCTTGAGATAGAGGCGACATCTGATTGGTTGACGAGATCTGAACTCAAGAGATGGGCGGTGAAGGGGCGGAGGGTTTTGTCTTCAGCCAGGATTTCGTAGATAAGAATGTCGTGAAATTAGCGGGATTCACATTGATAATATTATTAAAAAAGTTGTTGTTTATTCTTCTGAGGTAGTCCTGAATAGTATCTATTTTCAAGTCGGAGTGGAGGGTCTTATTCCGAACATAGTAAGGAGCTTTTGTGATGATTCTTAGCACCTTATTTTGAAGCACTTGGAGTTTTCTAATCTCGTTTGCTCTGTAGTTTGCCCAGGCTGGGGAAGCATACGTGAGAATGGGTCGGATTACAGTCTCATAAATCCTCTTTTTCAGCCTGAGGGAGAGGTTTTCGGCCGATGCTATTCGCACCACCGGTGCGATTAGCAGCTTAAGCTATTTGCACCAACAATAACCCCGCATGATTGAGTTGCCAGATTCGTCATTTTAACCCAATCAAAAGGAATTGATTCTACGTATGCGAACTGTTGTAGTGAATCTTTTTTTTTTTAAAGGCGAGTTACTACCTTGGCGTAGTTTATCATTTTTTAAGCGTTGACGACTTTCAAAAGTTTAGAAAAGAAAATGGGTTCCTTTTCTTATAAAAAGAAGGAACACATTTTCTTTTATTAAAGTATATATAAAAAAGGTTAGAATTTTATGTTCGCAATGTTTATCGTTTTCCTGAATAATTTAAATTAGTTGGGATAGTTTAAATTACTGGTTTGGGAGGAGGGGGACAAAATCTTGTTTACATTTTTTGAACAAAATTCTTAGAATACATTTAGCTTTCAAAGATGTGTTTTGCGCAATCAGGACTTTAATTCATTCCTCTTTGAAAATTTTCGTCCGAGAAAAGGATACTAAAAATTAGATAGAGGATTTCTGTGTAGAAAATTTAGACATGAAATAAGTTAAAAGCGATTATATCAACTATTAAATGAATTATTCTGTATGCCTGCTTATTTTTTTAAGGAAATACTTAGCATTTTTAGGACACAAAACGTACTTCAAAAACTTTTGAAATATTAGTACAACCACATTAATAAATTAAATTGAAATAAATAATGGGATGTAATTTAAAAGACAGAAATAATTTAATGAAGAGATTTAGGTTTAAAAATTTGCACACACAAATGATTTATCAGATTTTATAAAGAATTTCATAAATAACTTTGATTTAACTTTGATTCATAAATAACTTTGATTTTGAAATATGGCATTTGAACCTATAAGTGTGGATACTGAAAAAGTGATGAATATATAAGAATATTATAATTTTCAGTAAGTTTTCTTATTGAATAATAAATTCTGACAGTCCTATGCTATAAGACTAGGGTTTAAGTTTACATAAAAATTCCTCTGTTAAATAAAAGAATTTAAGTAATTTCTGTAGCCTTTTTGTCAATACATTAAAGATTTTATAACTAATTACTCATCCTCGCTTGCAATTAGAACCATCATTAAATCCCTATTTTATCTAATCATTTCCTGAACATTATCATGTATATAGATTGACTTCGTCTTTGTAACTGGTAATTATTACTTGCAAATTATTCTCTAGCTGGTGAACTATTAACAACCCTTTCCATTGCTGAGTTAGGGTTAACAACCTTAGCTCTCGCTACCTCCTGCCTTACGGAAATCGGCGTAAAATGCTGGTACCTGGGCTGATTGTGCGCATGCGCGAACGTAGGTGGTGTTAATAGCCTATTAGCTATTCGCACCGTAGGTGCGATTAGCCACTGCGGAGGCTTTCCTTCTTTAGGAGAGGGAAAAGCCTGAAAATGATCCCATGTGCTTTTCTGCTTACTCTAAGCATATGATCCTTCCAATTGTGGTTCTTGTTAAGGGTAACACCCTGGTAATTTGCTTTATCAACTGTAGGGATGATTTTGCCAAAAAGTTTAACTCCAGTTCTGACACGTTCCCTCAGTCTGCGATTTTAGAATGAGTAGAATCTTGGATTTTTCTGGCTGAATACGCGTTTTCCAGCGACTGCACCACCCCTCAATAGCAGGAATTTTGGCCTCAATTCTTGACAAGGCATATTCTGGGTTTAGAGACTTGGTGGCTATCGCTGTATCATCAGCGTAGCTTTCTGCGAAAACATTTGTATCCTCGGTAAAGCATGGGAAATCGTTGGTATAGATGATGTAAAAAAGTGGGCCTAAAGTTGACTCTTGAGGAATACCTGCATAAATATTTTTGACACATGAAGTTGCACTTTCAACTGCAACGGTGCAAGTTCTATTTTCAAGGAAGGACTTGATAATGAGTATCAGATTCCTGGGGAATCCGAGATGAATTAGCTTATAGATTAGCCCTGGATGCCAGACGCGGTCAAAAGCCTTTGCCACGTCTAGCATCAGGATAGCAACACTCATTCTGTTGTGCATAGCCGCGCCGATGAACTCCGTGAGCCTGACTAACTACGTTGTGGTGTCGTAGAAGTCCTTTCCGGAAACCGTGCTGGTGATCAACGAGAAAATCCAAGTTTTCTTGCATTCTGAGATAAATAATACGTTCCAGGATCTTGCTTATGGAGGACAGCAGGCTGATGGGTCTAAAGTTTGCCGGGTAATCATGTGTTTTTCCTGGCTTAGGAATCTTTAGGATGCTTGCTTGCTTCCAGAAAAGCGGGAAATAATTTTGATACAAACATGCGTTGAGAATGCCTGTTAATTTACATACGGTCTTTTTTGTTTCGCTTTGTCATGGTCGGAGTAAGCAATTCCGTTATCGCATTTGAGCGGCTTTCTAGCAGAGCAGGGGCTTTTTAGCGTCCTTGTATGACGCCAGATGGCGCCAGGTTCGTCAATGATCTTTTCCATCTTATCCTGCCATAAGCTAGAACGATGGGCCTGAATCTTTTGCTTGATTTTCCTATTAAGCCTGTTAATTTGGGTTTGGATAGCAGGATCCCAGGTGAGATTGAATTCCTTTCGGAGATGATTTCGAAAGCAGATTATTTCGCGAATATTGGCTGGAAGCGTGTGCTTATGTCTGACACAGTTAACCTCAGTCGTAGCTAGGGACTTAGCAGAATGCAGGTACGAAGTAAAGTCTTTTACAGCACGTTCAATATCCGAAGTGCGTTGTAACGAGTCACAATTAAAATCAGTGGTCATCAAAATGTTATGATAAAGATCCCACTCAGTATGCTTAATTGCTGGTAGGTTCTTAGCATTTTCCACTCAAGTAAGCAAGCACAGGTACATGATCAGAAGACATGTCACGTGTTACCGTAATAGCCATGGGAATATTGAATGTCGTAATAAAA